ACGACACCATTGAAATTATTCACTTCAAAATTCAAGTACTTTTGTCATGCAGGCTGGTGAATGATAGAAAGAGGACAATCCTTCCTTCATCTCAAACATGCATAATCAATCTCCTTTGTAAGCATCCTTCTACCTACCTGCACAACATGCATAGAAAACAAGTTCAAAAGAAAACAATACAATCCCAGACTCACGTCAGATCTTCTCACTCACATGCACGATTCGCACAACTTTCTCTACCTTTTCTTTCGAACGTTCAAACGAACAGGGTCAAGCAAAGTGTGGGTTCACACAGGTGTGAAGGGATATCTGAATCATTCCACTGACCTTGAGTGAAGTTTGATCCGGCTCACTCAAGAAAGTCGGGTAATATATCAATCGAAGGAAAATGACCACCGTAGAAAAATATGCGGCACACAACTCATAAGTTGTAGCCTTTCTCCTGAATGACGGTCCGCATCCTCCACCAAGTGCTCAAGTGAGCAGACGTTGGGCCACACAAACTCAAGCGAGATAGCCCTCCAGGAGGGTGTTCCCACAAACGAGTTTTCACGTGGTCTTAATATCCATGCCCCAACATAGTCCCAACTAAACCACGTGCTCCAAGGACACCTCCCCAACCAACAACAAGTTCATACCGCCTCAAATCATCCTGTCCGCTCACGATAACCACATGAACATGTCAGTCCCAATCTCAACAACTAGTCCCACCTAGTCCCGAAATAGTCCCAGATGGTCCCAATGCAATCCCATATCATCGCCCGCAATACCAGATGGTCCGTCACTCAAAACCGCTTACACTGCGCGCCGCAAAAAAATAAAGATGACCCCCAGCGAAACCCGCAGGTGTCGCGAGCCCCATAATTACCTCGCCGCGTGCAACCACTCTGCACTTTCGGCACGTCGTCGACCCACACACCACTGTTGGACAGTCCCAACCACGCACCAGCGTTAGCCCAACCTCTAGGCCCCATTAGAATCGCTCATAGTTACCGCACACCAAAAAAAAATAAAGCGCGGAACTGCAGCTCGCCGCACCGTCAAAACCGGTACCACACCACCGTATCAAAACAATTCATCAGCACTTCCCACCGAAGTGCCGCTGCCATGCCAAAATTTTGGCAGCGTAACCTTACAAAACAAAATCACCATTGTCGTGCCACCAAACGGTCAGCACCTCCCTTTAGGAACCACCACGCCATTAGTTCGGCAACACCCCCCCATCAAAGTGCTAATACCGCCACCGCCGTGAAAAACCGGCAGCGCTTCCGCACCACTGCCGTTCAGCCCGACGCCATTGCCGCAAGAATTCGGCAGCGCTTCCGCTCCACCGCCGAAAAACGAGCGTTGATGCCGTAAAAATTCGGTAGAGTTCCCGCAACACTGCCAAAATCCATCGATGTCATCGTGCAAATCAAGTAGAGCCTCCCCTGTACCGCAACAAAAAATAGTTGCCGTCGCCGCGCTGTGCAGACAGATTGTTGCATACTGTAACGTGCAGACCAGAACAAGAACCGACCTTTCAATACAAAGTATAAGATAGCACAACGAAAGACTTAGGTACCAGTGATCCGAACAATCGATGTTGCAATGCAGCCCTGAACATACATCATCATCATCGTTACATGGTGTGAATGGGGCCTGGCGCTTCACACAGGAAGACTGCGCCAGCCCATACCATACACAAACGAAGAGGAAGGGGATAGACGAAGWGGAGGGGGAAGATGGGAATGTCGTCAACACCAAGTCTTCGGCACAAGCCCAAATAGTCCCTCKTCRRAATGTCTGAATCCCAAATGTCAAGTCTGGATCCAATGTCGTCAAGTCTCAAGTCACAACTCTGTCTCTCTCTGTCGTAGTTTGAGAAGTCAGGTGGCGAGAGGGTGAGAACAGAAGGTGGACTTAGAAGAGGAAGAAGAAGAACTCTCTCTCTCTCTGTCCAGTACTAACCTGTGAAGTTGGCGCCTTGATGCAAGTACCACGAAGATGGAGCTGGAGCGATGGCGCCACAGGTAAGTATCGCTGGCCTCCGCTAGCCTCTCTCTCCCACTCTACGATCTACCACCTACCAGGCGCCCAGCGCCGAAGACTACAACTAGCGCTAATACCTACTGCCTAGCGCTGAAGACTACTGCAGCGCTCCTCCTGAGTGTTGCGGCCGAAATCCTGAAGACTACCACTGCCTACCGACACTACCTACCCGTGAAGTGCAAGGGAACTTCCTATGTACTACGGGTGTGCCTTCTGAGCCTGCCGAAGGAAGGCAGGGGCTGCAGCTGCAGTTCCTGCTCAAACTCGTGAGGAACAGGCTATTTCTGGCCTGTTCCGCATCCCTGTTTATGTGCCCGAGTCTTAGGGGCAGGTCGAAACAATGAGGGCCTGAAAATGGCCCTCCGTTTCAGGCTGAAAACTCTGGGTCTGAAAAGACCCAGAAATAGGCTGAAACGGGGTCGGGCCTGCAGGCCCTCGTTTTTCAGCTTTCAGGCTGAAACGAACGGGGCCTATAAGCCCTAATAGGCTTTTAGGCTGAATGTCCGGGATGGGCCCTGCAGGGCCCGTGTGGCTACTCAGTATGCCCCCCCCCCTCCTTTAGGAACCGAGCTTGCCTGCGAGGGCGAAGCTGTCTGTCTGAGGGAGGGACCATAGTCCAGGTGGGAGGGGCTGGTCGTGAAGCTTCCTGAGCTAACCTCCCCTTTTCATAATGCGCGTAGATCAGCGGTGCGGATGCTTTCAAATCTGCGCCTGAAATCCACCGAGTGTCGTCGCGATCGCATGCTTTGAATGTGACTTTGTACTGCCGCGGCTTGCTGTCGTACTTGCGATCGGAGATGACGCGGTCAACTTCCTGATGGCCATCCATAGGAGGGTCCTGCGATCGTCGCTCCGGAAAGTCGTCGCTCTTGACTGGCGTGTATGTTGCCAGCTTCGAGGCGTGGAAGACCGGATGGACCGTCAAATGCTCTCGAATGTTGATCACAAATGAAGGGCCATCGGGCTCATCGCCCGCGGCTGCTATCACAGACCAAGGTCCAAACCACTTGGGAAGCAGTTTGCGTGAAACATCCTGTTCCAGTGCAAACTCTTCCGCGGAGACCCAAACCAGATCACCGGCGCGGATGGGACATGGTACGCGACGCCTGTTGGCTTGCTGCTGCATGCGGACTTGACCCTTTTGCATATTTGCGCGGGCTTGAGTCAGCAATTCCCTGTACTTCCGGACGGAAGCGGGAGAGCAGGCAGCGTCAATGTCGGCTCGTCGAGGGAGGAGAAGGTCTGCGAAGATCCGGCTGAAGTGTTGTAGGCGAATTCGATGTCGGGGAGGCGGTCAACCCAATCTTTCTGGTCCGTACGGATGCGCGTACGAAGCATCATTTGAGCGGTTTGATGTGCCCGCTCCGTCTGCCCGTCTGTCTGAGGATGTCGAGCCGAACGTGGTTTCATTTTTGCGCCGGACTCCTGCATGAGAGCAGTCCAAAATGCCGACATGAAACGAGTGTCGCGATCGCTGACAATGTCTTCTGGTACACCGTGGCCACAAATCCAGCCGGTGTGCAGGAGGCGTGCCAGCTCGGGAGCCGTGAAGTAGTACTTGCAAGGGAGAAAACGCGCGAACTTGCTCGATCGGTCCACAACCGTGAGGATGCCGTCGTGCCCGCGCCGGTCGTGAGGAAACGGACCGGTGACGTCCATGGCAATGGAGAGACCGGGTTCCCGTGCGATAGGCATCGGGAGTTATAGGGATTGCGGTTGCGGGGCTTGCTACATCGACAAACTTCGCAAGAGTCGCAATACTGAGTGACATCGGTAATGAGGTCGGGCCATCGGAATCGCTGTCGAAGTCGTGCAATGGTGCGGTTGACTCCGAAATGGTCAGCGAGTCGTGAATCATGGTACTCGCCAAGGAGGCGAGTCGAGAGACGACGGTCGTGTGAGACACATAGTAAGTCCTTGCCTCTCGAGTGGAGGAGCAAGTGCCCGTCGGCAATGCGGTAATGGCTGGCCAACGGGTGATCCGAAGATAGTTGTGCATAGAGCGTGCCGAAGTCCGGATCAGACTGATATGTCGGTGAAGCTCCTCGTCGAATGCGAAGGCATGATGTGACATAGCGCAAAAATCAGGTCTTCGCGAGAGTGCATCTGCTGCGCGATTGGAGAGGTCGGGGACATGTTTCGGTGTGAAGTCAAATTGGTCGATCAAGTACATTCATCGTCCGATCGTGCTGCTCACCGTGTCCTGCATCTTGTAGTAGGTCAATGGATTGTTGTCTGTGACCCATGTGAACCTACGACGCCCAAGAAGGAAGTGCCGCCAGCGCTTGAGAGCCATCACGAATGCGAGCAGCTCCTTCCTTGCATCATCAAGCGAGTTGATGGGAGGCACTTTGTGGCTGAAATACTCCACAGGGTGCCAGTCGTCGCCGTCGTGTTGTTCCAAGACTGCCCCAATGCCATACTCGGAAGCGTCCGTAGTCACTCGCGTCGGCAGGGTGGGGTCATAGATGCTAAGGACGGGTGCCATGAGCATAGCCGTCTTAAGTGCTTGGAACGACCGGCGTGCGTTGTCATCGAATACGAATGGCACCTTTGGCGACTGTAACCTCGTCATAGGTGCAGCAATCCTGGAGTATCCGGTGATGAATCGCTGATAGTAGCCCACCAACCCCATGAATGAACGAACGTCCGTGGTGTTGGTGGGCTCGAGCCATACTCGTAGGGCCTCCATCTTGTCCGCAAGCGGACGGATGCCTTGCGGCCTCACATAGTGTCCCAAGTACTCCAGCTCCTGCTGTGCGAACTCGCACTTGTCGCGGTTTGCTTTGTACTTGGCTTGTCGTAGCCGCTCCAAAACGGTGCGCAGGTGTTCCACATGCTCGTCCAAACTCCGACTATACACCAAGATGTCGTCGAGGTAGATGAGTACAAACCGATCCAGCATGTGTCAGAACTCCGTTGTCATAGCTGCTTGGAAAGTGGTTGGGGCATTCGTAAGGCCAAACGGCATGACCAGCCATTCGAAATGCCCATACCGTGTCTTGAACGTGGTCTTGTAGCGATCCTCCTTGCGAATCTCGAGTTGGTGGTAGCCTGACTTGAGATCCATCTTAGAGAAGAACTGGGCGCTGCACAATCGCTCGAGAAGGTCGTCGATGAGTGGGAGAGGGCCGGTGTTCCTGATCGTCTGAGTTTGCGATAATCGATGCACAACCGCAGGTCCTTGTTCTTCTTCCGGACGAAGAGAACATGAGCACCGTATGGCGATGAGCTAGGCCGAATCCAGCCTTTCTCTAGAAGGTCGTCCAGTTGTGCCCGAAGCACACTTAACTCTTCTTCGCTCATTCGGTAGATGCAACCGCGCGGAGGTACGGCCCCGTCCTCGAGGATGATCTCGTGGCGGATGGGTTGATCCGGTACTCCTCCGTGCGGGCCTTCGAACACGTCGCTGTAGGCGTCGAGAAGCTCGGTGATGCGTGGATTCGAAGGTGAGTCCGACATTGAAGCGTCGTGGGGTGGGAGGGCGTGGAGAAAACACACCCCCATCTCCTCGATGTCGTCTCTGATGATGGAAGCTCGCATGCTTGCGGCGGATACCACGTGGCAGCTGATCGAAGGATGAGGAAGAGGCACCGTGCATGGAACTAGTACTCCGTTCCAGTCATGAACGTGAACGGTGCGGTTGAAGAAGTTCACCGGGTGATCCTTGCTTCGCAGCCATGACATGCCCAAGATCATGTCGAATATGGTGTCCAGAATGTCAAAGGACACCGCCTCACTTGCGTGAGGGGCAAAGTACACTGGGACGGCGTCAATGCACCGGTCGATGGACTTGTGCGAATGACCGTCTGCCAGAGTGACTTGCGTAGGCTGGGACTTCCTCCGGRCACGTGGGCCAAGGCCGGCGCGTACCATGAAGTCCTGGCTGATGTAGTTGCGAGATGCTCCGCAATCGATCAAGGCACTGCAGGTCGCCTCTCCGATCTGAATGCGTACGTATAGCAATGGTGCATCGATGTTGTCGTACCGTTGCGTCTTGAACTGGCGGTCGATCTTCGCGATGTAAACGGAGTTGGTACTGCAGTGTGCAAGTACTCCCGCAATAGTGCCATAAGCACGTTGCAATGAGGTTTCGGCAATCGTCCGGTCGAGGGAACGGGCATCCACTGGAAGTTCGTAAACGTCAATGGGTCGAGCTCTTCAAGTCTTGACCATGACGTCGAATCCCCGATGATAGATTGCGGCGAAGCTGCCGAATCGGTTGCCGATGGTGATGAAACCATGCATGCGGTGGACTGTTGCACGTGGAGCGGTTGGTCCAGCAATGGAACCAAGTGGACAGCATAATCCTCGTACGTATACCGAGGACTTGCGACATTCGCATCCTCCCCAGATGTGCAGGAGGCCGCTAGCAAGGCGGCCGAATCTGGCGGAGTAGGTGGAGTCGCCTCACCTTCCGCGGAGCTCAGTTTCCCGAGCTGAGGAGGGGTCGCACATCCTCCTTGCCCTGATCTTGCCACAGGGAGGTCTTGTGCTTGGTGCTGTTGCACCAATAGCAGCTGCCGTAGCGGCCGCGGACCTTGTACTCCACCTTGGTCAAGCCAAACTTGACCCATGGAAATTGTCATGGCTGTCCATTTCCTGCTTGCGATGCGGATTTCACCTTCCCATTGTTGCGGGACTCGTTGTTGCTTCGCGGCTGGACAACAGCCACCTGATCTCCGTCACTTGATGCTGGAGTGGCTGCTGGGTTATCTCCACTGTCCTGCTGGACTACCGCGAGGAGCTGCTATCGCGGACCAGTTCGTACCTTCCCCACATAGGTCGACTGCCATGGTGACTTCTCGTGTGCAGCTAACCTGCTGGTCTTGATGATCTCCCTCGCCTTGTCAATGATTTCGGCAAAGGTTGAGTACTGCTCGCGATCACCAAGAGCCTGGCTCAATGCAGCGCAGGATCTGTTGTAGAACTCACGTCTGAGATGAGTGAAAGGCAGGTCCAGATTGGGCACTGCCGCAATCTTCTGCCACTCCGTGAGCCAGTCCCATGTTGCAGTGTTGCCCTGTGACATGGTGAACAGACGGTTGATAGCGAGTGTCGGTGCGTCGTCGACGATGAACCGCTTCTTCCACGTCGGAACGGAAGACTTAGATACCAGTGATCCGAACAATCAATGTTGCAATGCAGCCCTGAACATACATCATCATCATCGTTACATGGTGTGAAATGGGTCTGGCGCTTCACACAGGAAGACTGCGCCAGCCCATACCATACACAAACAAAGAGGAAGGGGATAGACGAAGTGGAGGGGGAAGATGGGAATGTTGTCAACACCAAGTCTTCGGCACAAGCCCAAATAGTCCCTCTTCGGAATGTCTGAATCCCAAATGTCAAGTGTGGATCCAATGTCGTCAAGTCTCAAGTCACAACTCTGTCTCTCTCTGTCGTAGTCTGAGAAGTCAGGTGGCGAGAGGGTGAGAACAGAAGGTGGACTTAGAAGAGGAAGAAGAAGAACTCTCTCTCTCTCTGTGTCCAGTACTAACCTGTGAAGTTGGCGCCTTGATGCAGGTACCACGAAGATGGAGCTGGAGCGATGGCGCCACAGGTAAGTATCGCTGGCCTCCGCCAGCCTCTCTCTCCCACTCTACGATCTACCA